ACTTTAGGGGGTAAAATTGCATGTATAGCAACTGGAATGAAATCCTCTATTGAAATATGGCAATCGTGAGACTTTAAGCCCTTCAACTTCAGATCTTTCATTGATACAATATTTTTTATGTTTGAAGAGTAACATTCAAGAACTTTAACTACATTAAGGAACTCACAAAATATAGTTTTCTATTTCTTAGATAGTGTATAAGCTGTCGGAGGGAGAAAGGTACAATTTTCCTTATCTTGGGGTGTTAATTCTTCTCTTATTCCTAAAGAAACCATGTCCAACCTTGCTTTTATGCCATCTTTTGTTTTTCTTGACACTTGGAGTAAAGTTTCAATAAGACTCTCACAGACATTTTTCTTAATATGCATGACATCAAGAAAATGATGAACATCTAAGGTGGTCTAATAAGGAGTTCAAAAAAAAATAAATCTCTTCTTTTATCTGGTTGTCCCAAGCTTCCTTACAAATGGTTTGCCAAATTCAATATCTAAATCCTTGATCTTCTTAAATAGTTCATCACCAGTTAATGGCAAAAATGTCTTACCTTCTTCTGGATTTCCATTAAATGCTTTTCTTAACCATCGATAATGATGTTCTTGGTGTAAAAACCTACAGTGTCTGAGGTAAACATTTTTCATCCCAGGTTGAAGCCTCATAGAATGTGTTCCATCTTTCAAATAGGGCATTCAAGTTGCCCTTTAATGCTATATCCTAACAGATTACCATAAGCAGGAAAATTATTGATTGTACCGAAGAGCATAGTTCTTAAATTAAATCTTTCTTCTCTATATCCATCATATATCTCTATACCTGACTCCTACATGATCTTCAAGTTATCAATTAGAGGAGCCAAATATATGTCTATGTCATTCCCAGGTTGCTTGGGTCTTGCAATTAGCATGGACAACATCATATACTTGTCCTTCATACAAAGCCATGGAGGAAGGTTATAAATCACTAAAATGACTGGCCAAGTGCTGTGGCTACTACTTTGAAGCCCATGAGGATTCATCCCATCGGTAGACAATGCAAGGTGTAGATTCTTACTCTCTTCTCTAAATTCATGGTACTCATAATCAATCTTCCTCTATTGTGGAGAATCAATAGGGATGACGAAGCATGCCGTCTTTTATCCTTTCATCTGCATGCCATGTCAAGCTTTTCATAACTTTTGCATTACTATACATCCATTTAAATCTAGCCACAATTGGAAAATACCATAGTGCCTTCATGGGACTTGATCAGTTCTGCTTGTAGTGTGAGGCATTACACTTCAGACACTCAATTAACGACATATATTCATTCCAAAATAAAAGGCAATCATTAGGGTACAAGTATATCTTTTCATAACTCATGCCAATTGATTGCAATACTTGTTTTGTATCATATGTTCGACAAGGAAGCTCATCTTCCTTAGAAAGTAATTCTACTTTCAAATACCCAAGCAACTCAGTAAAGCTCGCATCACTCCATCTATGTTTTGCCTTCATATTGTACAATTTTAACACTGATGACAACTTTGATGCACTAAAACCAGCATAAAATGGTGTCTCCGCATCACTTTTTAACTTCTCAAATATTTTTGGACAATCCTCGAGGTCCTCTTCAACTACTCTAGCCATCTGCTCAAGACAATCTTTCTCAAGTGTGTATGTGTCGAAATCATTAGGAGATGATGCGCAGCTTTCACTATGCTTCTGGCTGCAACCAATATCATCTCTTGTCTCACCATGCATTGTCCAACACTTGTAACTTTAATCCATCCCATTAATCACAAAGTATTCTTCACAAGTATTTGGACTAACCCGTTTCATAAGACCACACTTTAAACATGGGCAAACAATCCTAGTATGATCCTCCACATGCTTAACTGCAAGCTTAACAAAATTCACCACCCCATCCCAATATTCCTTGAATAGACGATTGGCAGACATCCATCCCTTATCCATAATTTCTAAAAAGATTAAGAGAAAAATATGATTAATGACTTTGACTACTCCTAGATAGTGGGAGAATTAGATATAAAGATCAATCAATCAATAAGTTACTAACCACATGTTTGCACATTTCCTCTTTAATCTTGTTTAAAACTAATAATTACATTTTAATGCTAGCAATTGAAATAATTTCGGCAACATAATGACTTAAAAAAGAGAGTTTCTCAGACTTTATCCCCTCTCTCTATTAATCTAAATGACAACAACAACAGCATCTACAACAACAATCACATAAAGTTATATTCAAGAATAATTTAAAAAAATTGATAGTATATATAATGGCTTAAAATGAATATTATCAGGTCTTTATGCCTTTAAAAAATTAAGTTATCCATAATGAGACTATATATGATCTAATAATAATAATAACAACATTAATAAGAAGCCCAATTTTAATTAAAATTATATAAACCACATCAAACACTATATAAATATCAATTTAAAATCTCAAAAATATTTTTTCATAACCAATTATCAATCAATTGAAAAACTAATAATGTAAAATTTGACAACTCAAGAAATATAAATTTATATTAATCATTCAATTACAGAACAAACACTTAAAACTTGAAAACAAAGTAATTAGGTGGTATACTATATTCATATCCTCAATGAATCTCCTTATATCAGCAAAACAATTGGATGATCCAATAATTTAATAATTAAGCACCCAAAAACTCAAAAGTTCAAACACTCACTAAGAAGAAGAACAATACAGATCAAAATAAATAACACAGAAATTATTTATTGCATATGAAAATCAAAATCAACAACCCATACATTCAAAATGAAGATTAATGATTGAGAAAGCAAGAGCCTACCTCAACAAGAAGAGGAAACGCCAACTGTGCAGAAAAATAGAGAGGAGAGTGTGTTGCAGAATGATAGAGATCGAGAATCCAAACGAACGAGCGCTCATGAGACTTATGGAGGCCAAGAATAAAAAGCCCCTCAAGAATTGAGACTGAAAATATATTTTTTGGCAGTTGGAGTGACGAAAAATGAGTTTCAATGGCTCTAGGTTTGTTTATGAAGACGAACGATTTGTAGAAATGGAGAGCGGGAAAGAAATCTGGAGGAAATTTAAATGAAAATACTTGATGGTATTTCACAATAACCGTCAAGTATTACATATTTGATGCTTTTTTTAAAATAACCGTCAAGTATATAGCAGACAAACTTGATGGTTATTTCAAAACAAGCGTCAAGTATGTGAAAAAAATTTAATTTTTTTACTATTAATTTGACGTTTGTTTATCGAAGACTGACGTGTATATTTTACCTTTATTTTACGATTATTTATAAAAAACGTCAAATATATATACTTGACGGTTATATTCAAATAACCGTTAAGTATCCATTTGAATATTTGATGCTTTTTTCATAACAACCGTGAAGTATTCTCCACCTTTTTTATTTGTCATTTTTTCAAATAAATGTCAATTATAGAACGTCAATTATGCACTTCTCTATAGTAGTGTGAAGACGACGACGGTAGACTTGGGAAGGGGCATGATGTTGGATCTAGACACTTGAACCAGTGAAGGAAGAAGACGAAGTCCACAAGAGGTAAGGGTAAGGGCATTTTGGTCTTTACAAAAATCAATCTTAGAATTGATTTTACAATACTAGGGAGTGATGGTACTAAATAATCCCACTTAAGTAGAATTGGGATTAAAATCTTCATTCCCACATATCAAACACAAAAGATTGTGATTAGTTAGTCTCACTCTCTCATTTTTCTATACCAAACATGACCTTTACGCAAAAGCTAGCCCTCACAATTTCTTACTTAACTCCCCTCTATATGTGAATCATTATTTATTTACGATTTGTCTTTTGCACAATATACACTAAAGAAAGACGCTCCATTATCCTAATCATTATACTCCTTCCCGTTGCGTTCTAAATATATGTAAATGGTAATTGAAAAGTTTGTTTTAATATTAAATGCAAGGCTGATGACGTCTATAACATGTGCCTCTCACATTTATTATTTTTCTCCCAAAAACTACCCCTCTTTAGGTCATCAGTGTGAATAATTTCAATAAGAATGATTAAAATAATAAGTATTTTAGGCAAGCAAATACACATTTTTATAAACAATTAACTTAACTAATTTTCTTAATTTATGTTAATTAGGTATCTAGCTCTTACATTTAATTAGTTCCCGAGGCAGTAGTTTATTTATAATCATAGTGGTTATTCAACAATAGAATCTGGATTTTTTTAATAAATTTATAATTATATTTATAATATTTTTGTATCATCCAAATTATACATGGGACACATGGTAAAACCGGACATTATTATGTCAGAATTGGAAACCAATTTTTCAATTGACCAAACTTCAACTTCGATCCTCTTAACCGGCCACTTATTTTCAAAACTTGCTTTGTCCTTAACGTTGTTTGATTTCTCTTATTTGTGCTTTAGTTTGTGGGTGCATTTACTGAGTGAAGCTCAATTCTTATAGTCCCTGTCGTTATGATTGAACTCCGTATATACTGTGTTCAAATATGCAATCTAAAGAATATGGAGACTACAATTTTGTTCTTAAAAATTTCGTCAATTTTTTTTTTCGGTATCTGCATCTCGTACAATTTCATGGAAAAATATTCTTTTCCTCTAAAAGGAAGGCTTTAACCTCATGTCACGTCACTTCAAAGTTATAATTTAATAATACCATGCAACTCAATCCTAGCTATTATATGTTAATTAACACTTAACAGAATCTTTAATCTGTTTTCATTTTTTTTCCTTAAACAGTACTCTGCAACCGCCAACTAGTACACTAGAGAGTTGGGATTACTTTTTCCTCATGGTATTCCTCTTGTTCTTTTTTTTTTTTTTTTTTACTTTAATTTCTGTCCTTATCCTCGATCAATATGTCTTATAGTTTTATATGTAGCCTTGTAATAGCTTGAGAGCGGATTTCTGCTCTATAAATAGAGGGTTCCAATTACACGCTCGGCATACAAAGCCTTTGGGTATCTTCAACTTTGTAGCTCATACCACTTTCACAAACCCAATTCTTCTTCTTATTGACTGCTTGAATCAATTATTGTTCATATGATGGCCATGAAAATGATGACTGCAGATCCTCTTGCTGTTGGAAGGGTGATTGGAGATGTCATTGATTGCTTCACTCCAGCAGAAAAAATGACAGTCACTTATAACTCCAACAAGCAGGTCTTCAACGGTCACGAGTTCTTTCCTTCCGCAGTAACCACTAAACCCAGAGTTCAGGTTCATGGCGACGATATGAGATCTTTCTTCACTCTGGTACTTTTTCCATTCTCCTTCACTTTTCATATTGGTTCCTCCTCATCATCTTCTGGCTCTTCTGATATTTTCACCAATCGCACGCTACCAATTTTCGTTAGGTCATGACAGATCCGGATGTTCCTGGCCCAAGTGACCCATACCTGAGAGAACACTTACACTGGTATGACTTATGAGCATATGCTTGTACTTGATTTTTTTGATTGAAAAGAAGTACTATTAAATCAGAAAAACTGTACAATGAACAAATACCCAAGGTGTTAACTCCTTTCACAATCCACCCACTCATAATATCGGGAAGGTTGATGGTGAAAGGAAACAAAAGAATCGGCCCTAAGATGTCCTATATTAAGCATGTCTTTAAGAAAAGCACTATTATCATTTACAGAGGAAGTTAAAAGAGACAGACCAATTACGAAGAACAAAAACTCTTCGTAAAATTCTAGCACATTGACAATACGTACGATATGTAAAACCTTTTTTTCGGGGAGTGTTAATTTGAGTTCATATATATATTGGACTTCGAGCTTAGATATTTTAGTCACGATGACGCGTATTCCAAGTTAACCATAAAGCTAAGTAGTAATTCATGCGTGATGTTAAATTGCTGGATAGCAAGGAGTAATCAAATTTTCCCAATATTATCTGGCGGAAAAGGCAAGTTCTTGGTCATTGAGATTATGAGATACGTATATAAGAAAAATCTCATTGAGATAGATAGGTCCGCTAAGAGAGCGCTAATTTAGTCACTTTCAACTATATTCACAGGATAGTCAGTGACATTCCAGGCACGACGGATACCTCATTTGGTAAGTGCTTTTGGCCAATAGTTCCCGTATATGCATGAAGATGAGTGGCTTTGATTTAACCTTAAGTAAGTTATTGGATTCTTTGGGAATAAACTATTGGCAGGAAAAGAGTTGGTGAAGTATGAAATGCCAAGGCCGAATATAGGGATACACAGGTATGTGTTTGTGCTATACAAACAGAAACGCAGGCAGACAGTGATGAAAGTACCTACTTCAAGAGACGGATTCAACGCAAGAAAATATGCCGACGAGAACGAGCTCGGACCTCCGGTGGCTGCCGTGTTCTTCAATGCTCAGAGGGAAACTGCTTCCAGGAGACGTTAAACTGAAACTAAACCAGTACTCATGTGTGTCACGGGACATCTGCACTGCATCATCCCTCATATCTACCTAGTAATGGCTTTGTGTATTTGTGTGTGGTAGCCAGAATGAACTTATAGAGGGTTTTAGCTTGTTTCGAGGTAATTAGAATTGCCAAAGATGCAGGGCAACTTATCCCTCATTGTGTGTGTTGCATCTGTTTTTTTATTACGGAAGTGTTTCCAGTTTCTGTTGAATTCTCAATTAGCTGTAAGAAGCAATGTTATGTACGGTAGTCAAGTTTGTTTAATTTGTAGGTGTAATGGTACTCTTGGAACACCTAAGCAACTTCGTGCGTATTTTGACGAGTCAGGGCCATACATATTACACCATAGTAAAATTGACCTTGTCTTTATTATCTAAGCAGAGCTTGTTTTTTTCAGATTAATAAATGTTAAAAAAGTATATATGCTCATGACCTCATGCCTTGACTATTGCATTTGCTTAATGCATAACATGCATTCTATGAAATGATAATGCATAGCTAACTAAACAGATTCAAAGTTCGAAATTAAAGCTAACCAGGCCATAAGCATTAATCTAGGAACAGGCGGAAATTAATTAAATTTAGAATCTGAATCCCCTCGATATATTTTCTCTCCATGTCTCTCTCAATGCACAGTCCATTTGATTTTAATAGCAAAATAGTGCTAATAGTGACCCTGAACCAAGTATATTTTGTTCATTAATTATATTTAATTAGTCAACATAGTAAATAAAAATTTTGATCTTGTTTCGAGCATTTCATTTATTAAAAAATAAATATAGACTATCAAACAATTGTATTGTTTTGTGGCCCAAAAAATCAAATGTATTGTATATCTGTATCCTCTTTTCTCAAGTATTTGATTACAATCGCGTCTATGGAGAAGATTATGTATATCGAAAGCCAGAAGTTATGGAAAGTAGAGAGAGAATCCATTTTCAACAATTCATCGATCGAAAGCCTTAACTTTTGTAGTCTTACTTTATCTCTTTTCGTAATGGTCAGTTTTGTTTTTAACGTATAATTTAGAAGTGACTGCGATTAAATTTTTTGAAAACTTCCAAAGTTATCTTGAAATTGATTTTTTGAAAGTAAAGATGTAACATTCTCCCTTTTTTTTTTCCTTTTGTTTAAACGTAACAATTACCGGTAAAACTGCACACAAAAAAAGCATAAATCCAAAATAAAATTATATATTATAAAAATAAAACTAAGATGTCAATTCCATGTATAATCAATCACATATTCTTTCTCAGCACTATCATCGCGCGCATACGATTTGTTTCCCATCACACCGATTAATTTCTTATATCTAATTGTTTTTATTTTTATTGCACCCTCATGAAAATTTAGAATCATCTGTGAAGTATTTTCAAAGATTTGGTCCGAAAACATACTTCGCAACAATCCTACGTACGGGCTTCAACATTGTTTCAATCAAGCTTAAAATTGTGATTCATATGTTGTGGCAATCACACAGCAACGAGAAATTACATGACTGGGTAGAGACTAGGGAAAAGGAAGGCTTTACTTTGTATTATTTTGAATTTAAATTGATCTTGAATGTGTTTTATTCGAGATGGGATTCCTATAAAGCAAAGCGAGGAAGATTTTCACGGGCCAGAAAATTAACAGGAAGAAGTAGGGTTAATTATGAACAATCGTGGTCGGGAACTTATTTGACTGGTTGTCACCAGAGCTGAGAGATGGTGGCCACATGAAGTGAACTGTTGACTGTTGTGCGCTATATTTAGGTGCCGCTCAAAATTCAAAAAGGTTCTGACGAGTTGATGTGGTCGGTCGCTGTTTCTTCTGTTGGGCCTTCTTTGCTTGGAGAACAAATGGGAAAATTAATAGCCAGGGTCGATATCAAAACGACAAGATTTTGAAATCCGATCGAAATTATATACGTTCAGAAGAAAGGAGAAAAGAAAGGAGGGAGGGCCCTGCAGAAGCCGATCTGACAGCCTAAGAAGCTTATAGGCACGTCTTTATGAAAATTTTCCATTGTAGAGCCTCTTCAATTATTCACGCTGATACACAAACATACAAATACATATATATGCGTGTGTGTTGCATTTCCGGTCACTCCTCCTGCTAAAAAGATTTTATTCCATCTGAACCGTCACATATACTCCTTTAATTTTATTTATAAATTATTTTTATTAACCTTATTAATATTAATATAATAAAAATATAAAAAATAAAAATAAATAAAATTTTAAATATATTCTCTCCATTTAAAAATATAAATTATTTTTTAAAAGTTGGATGATCAAAATGTAAGGCATTTTTAATCTTTTAAAGTATAATCATAATTTTTTTAATGTATCCCTACAAATAAATAACTTTATATTTATTATAACGTATTTAATAGGAGTAAATATGAAAAAATAAAGTTAATCTGAAAGTAGGTAATTACTTTATCAGGGGATAAGATTAGATTAAAAATACCTTATATTTTTAAACGGAGGGAGTAACTTTCAATTAAAAAACAAAAAAAATAATATAATTTTTTTTTCTCCCTCTCTTTTATTTTTTTAAGGATAGTTTTGAAATTTCAATTCCTAATAAAGTAAACTAAATTATGCTTTTAACTAATATATCACTGGAGGAGTACATATCTACACACATAATTCTGACTCGGTGCTTAGGGCTTATTTAATTTCTATTTCATTTTTTATTTCTTAAAAATTGTAATTTTTTAATAAAAATTTGTTTAGTTATGTTACTTTATAAACGTCTTTAAAATTAAAAACAGGCTGAATTATGAGATGATTTATAATAGAAAAGGGTAAATATAACCATATTTATTAATAACGTGTTTTGAAAAATATACTTTTTGTTTTAAAAAATAAAAAATAAAAACAGCACATGAGAGTGAGATGAAAAGGACCTCAGTTTTCTGGGGAAATGGTTCATGAGGAAGGAGCTAGATATAATTCACGTAGCGTTTGGGTTCCCCAAAAAGTAAAGACGAAGGGACTTCGATTCTCGAGTGTTAGGTCAAATGCATGACTATTATTATGAGACCTAGAGTGTGAAAAATGAGTACTCGTTACTATTCAAGAGGACTCCATAAAGGAAAGATGCCATGTGAGCCCTGGATTTAGAAATTCCACTTTTAGATCTGTATATATTGATCTTCAACAGATTGTGCGGGATTAGTAAAGCCGAGACGTAACTGAAAAGGAGTGAGCTCGTGAGCATACATGGCCTTATCTAATTGCCTAGTTCTCCAATGTCAGCAATTTATAACTCACCATCACTTTAATTCAGTCACATTTGCTTTGATCAATAACTGAAATTGGAGAAATACGTTGAATGCCAGCAGTCTCTAGGTGGAGGTTTAGCATTATTATGGGAGAGACATAGTACAGACACAGATGCTTTCAATCTGCAGGTTTTGAGGGCCTCCGGCCATAACAACGCATAATAAATCTCCAAGTACCATTCAATTATTTTCCCATCATTTTGTTAGATGCAGGCTAAATATTAAATAGGGAAAATGACAATAAAGTCTCAAAAAATAAATTTTATACGAGTTAAGTCCTAACTAATTCTAAAAAGTCAATAAAATCCCAGAGTCCTTAAATGGTATTTTGATGTCACAGGAAAAGACCAAAACACCCTTCTTCAAGTAAAAGCTCGTTTTCTTCTCTGCCTAAATGAGTCTCAGTGTGCGACGCGAAGCTCTGTTCTCTGGGTCTGCGTTCTTTGATCCATACGGTGAACGAGAGCTTGGTTGGGCTAGGGGAGATTGATGTTTCTGGGGGCAGCACGCATAGCCGGCAACTGAGAGTTAAACACTTGAAGGAGAAGACGGAAACGTTGGCGGCGGTGATAGAAGTGAAAATCCAAATTTTAAAGGATAAAGCTCCAGTAATTTACAAGTGAGAAACTAAATTTTGCAATGCCCTTAGAAACAATTTGCAACTGGTACTCCAAATTTTGAATCGAAGAACTATTAAATTCGTTGAAGAGTTAAATCCTTTAGGACAAAGCTCCAGTAATTTGCAAGTGAGAAACCAAATTTTGCAATGCCCTTAGAAACAATTTACAACTGGTACTCCAAATTTTGGATTGAAGAACTATTAAATTTGTGGAAGAGTTAAATCCTTTGGGACGAAGCTCCAGTAATTTGCAAGTGAGAAATCAAATTTTGTAATTCCCTTAGAAACAATTTGCAGCTAGTACTCGAAATTCGGGATCGAAGAACTCTGATTTGTGAAAAACAACATGAGACTTTATTGACCTTTTAGAATTACTTGGGACTTAACTGGTATAAAATTAGTCTTTTGGGACTTGATTGTCATTGTCCCTATTAAATACTCTCTGCAATGAAAAAATGTAAAACTTTTAATCTCACCTTTAGTAAAATAATTATTAATTTTTAAATTAATTATATCTTTTTATATTTATTCATATTAAATACTTTACATTAAATATAAAGTTATTGATCAATAGAGATATTTAAAAAAAAGTAATAATTACACCTTAAAAGTTTAAAAATGTCTTAAATTTTTTAACATCTAACTCTTCAAAAAATACTTTACATTTTTTAACAGAAGGAGTATAAGCATCTCTTTTAATAAAATATTTAAATATTAATTCATCATGTTGTAAAGTTTACTCTTCTAGTCCTATTTATAATCAATTCTAATATATTTCACTAGTATTAAAAAAATTTTAAAATTTATTAACTATATCTTAAAATTTAATCAATTCTCAACTTTGCCCTTATTAAATATACACACTTCAATAACATATTTTTTTCTCTCCAACATCCAATGGAGGGTAAAAAAATTTATGATAAAAATTTAATGATGTGACCTATAAATATGATCAAAAAAATTCTTCTCTTTCTGACCTATAAATAGAATTAGAGGGAATATTTAAATTGTGCCCTTAAGTCCTTTTCATCGGGTTTCATTAATTACTGTTAAAATTGGTTGATCTAGTTAAAGATGTCTTAATTTTTTTTTTTAAATTACATTCATTCAACAGAAGACATTAAATTGACAATGTATTGTTACCCTTATTCTGGAAAATTTTTAGATTTAGACAATTTTTTAAACAAACATCCTGGAAGGACCTTTATAAAAAGGACAAGGGGGAATATGATTTATGAATTTTGTAACCATTTCTATTAGCCAGAATATATGCAATGTCTTTTATAACATAAATTGGTCAAAATATCCGACAATTACAAACAGCATGAGGACTGTTGTTATTGTAATTCCGAGAAGCAGCAACGCCCGCCACACTGATAATAAAAGAGACGGACGCGAGTTAGGTATTATTGATGCAAATAATTAGGACAGTGGATTACAAAGCCGAAGCACAAAGTCTAAATTTTGTGCCTATAAGCAAACGTCA